ACAAAAAAAAAAAAAAAAAGTGAGTAATTATCTCCCAGAATTAATCCATTCTCCATCAACTGTTTTCAACATTGATATAAAGGAAATAAACTGATAAGCTCTACAATGACATGGGAAAGGAAATATGTCTTGTTGCTGAGAAGACCATTATACATACACACACCCACACACATTTACACACACACTAACATCAAATCAATTCCAAGCCATAGTGACTTCCATTAGATTCCCAAGGTGGTAAACCTTTATGGAAGTAGACTGCCTTATCTTCCTCCCATGGAGCAGCTGGGGGTTTTGAACTGCCAGCCTTCTGGTTAGCAGCCACATACCTTATCTACTACACCACCAGAGCTCCATATGAGAAGAGTTTAAAAGATTTAATCAGGAGTAAACTGATTATACTGCCCTCACCCACTTCAACTCCCACAGAGTTTCCAAGGCTGTAAATCTTTACAGAAAGCAGATCTTTGTCCTGCAGAATGGCTGGTGGGTTTGAACTACCAAGCTTTTGGTGAGTAGCTTTACTTTAACCACAGTGTCACTAGAGCTCCTCACATATCTTCCTAGATGGAGGCATTTCACCAACCCATATTTTCCAAACTTGCATGAAAGCAAGTTAAGCATTGAGATGAGTATCTCCAAATCTTTTTTTCTTGCTTTCTGGTTTAGAACAGATGTCCTAATTCTGTCAATAATTAAGCAGAAGTGGGAGAGAATGTCAGTGAAAATTTGAAAACAGAGGTCTTGAAGAACAGCGAACTGAGTTCAAGAAGTGTAAAAATTACTCAGCATAAAAATAATGAAAGTGGAAAAGAAATTTAAAGAGGCTCAAAAGATACCTCTCAGTGTGTTTAGCCTGGTTACCTTCCATGAGTCTAAAATTCTAGATTCAGACTATATTTGTACAGAAAGAGCTGTTTGAGACCCAGAATCAAAGTGAAATTTTTCTGTCTTTACTTTGTACTTGAAGATATATTAAAAATATGGCATTGTCTTTAATTGTTAACTTGTATTCCAAATTTTCTTTTTTACCATCTGGATGCTCCCCACACAGAACAGCAAAATTATATTTCTCTATTTAGAGTGATTAATATGGATGGATCCTCATAGAGTGTTCTGGTACTAGGCTTCTTCTTCCATTATGCCCTGCAAGGCACTTTGCTTTCCATTAGGCCAGAATCCCATAACCATACTGGGCTGAGATACAGCTGTTACAGGTGAACTTAAAGATCAGTTATAAGAAACTGGAAAGTAATTGACTTTCTTGTAGGAAAGGAACTGAAGATTTGGTTTTGGTCTGAGTGGGGAGGACAAGAAAAGCTTTCCATGACGACACTGGGAAAATACTCTAAAAGACAGAATTTCTGTTGTAATAATGAAGGACATATCTTTTTGTATCTTAAATTTTTATATTGCTGCTAATTGAGCTATTAGAGTAAAGGATTCAAATATTATTTTCCATTGTCTGTATTTTAATAATTCATATATGTTGCAAAAGAGGTGAGCAGTGATTATCATCATTAACAATCTGTAATCATAAAAGTAAAGCTTTAACATGTTTCATATAACATAAAACCAAAAACCCAAATGTGCTGCCTTTGAGTCAGTTCTGACCCATAGTGACGACGTGTACAGAATAATACGGCTCCCTTCAGTTTTAAAGCTCTGAGCTTCCTAAAGCAGATCGCCAGCACTTGTTTTAAAGCATCTCTGTGAGGATTCAGATCACCAAACTGTCAGTCAGTCATTCAGCACTTAACCATTTGTGCCTCATAGGGATTCCTTTCATATATCACAATTATCTCTACAACTATTTCTTAACTGCTAAACCCATGGAAAAAACGGTTTCTTTTTCCAAGATTGAAACCTAAAAAAGAGGACAAACTTCAGCTTTTATAAAGTTGAAGGAAAGATCCTTGGCCCCTCTCAATTCATCACACAGATTATTTAGCATAAAATCTATTTTGAATTCTGTAAACAATAGATAGGATTTTCATTTAGGTGTTTTTGTACTTTTTTTGCATATAATATTATACCAGCTATTTGTTGTACTATGTAAAATGTTGGTTATTTAGGTTATTCCTAGGATTTTATCCAAAGGAGGAAGATGATTATTAAACATTCCTTGTTTCATAATTAAATGTGAACCAAACAATTTGTTTTGATATTTTGTCAAAGAAGTATCTTTAGCACTTTATAAATGGATATTGTATTACCTCTGACATAGAAGGTATAATCATGTTTTAAAGAAAGTCTCAAAGCCTTGAAATTAAACTATTATCTAAAACCAATTTTAGACAAAGTGGGTGGAATTCTCATTCATCATGAAAGTTAGAAATTTTATTGGAGAAAAAGTCATTTTTAGGAAAATGACACAAAGGTCAAAGAGCCAACCATGAATAATTTGAAAATTATTAATTACAAAAGAAAATTCTTCTCTACTGAAGTCTTTTCTTCCATAGCCATATTTACTATGCGTAGTTCAAAAAATTAAATGGACAGTGTGATACCTGTTGCCCATATCAACCCCACCATTTGTGCAGGGGCCATTTCATCAGGTATTCCAAAACACTTCATCTGAACTTGAGTTTCCAAAAAGCAAATGAAAGGACTGGTCTTACTTCACCTTTAATAAGGGCAATAGTATAAAACTAATATGTAATTTTAAGTGAATAAAATTTTCAGTATATATACCTTACAAGGCAGAATTTTCTACAAATCTGTAAACATGTAGGACAATTGCTATTGAAAATGATATATCAGAAAAGGTAATAATAAAAATATAATTAAAGCATTTCTTTGTGAGTACCATTTTGAATTCTATAAACAATAGACAGGATTTTCATTTAGGTATTTTTGTACT